TAAAATTACATCACTACACTCCTAATATCTTAATCCGCTATATTCTAAGCATAAGGAGCACTTGTTCTCAAAGGAGAATTCATTAATCATCAAGGCACTGATTTGAGACCTTTATTGAAATCCAAAGGTAGTTGCTTTTTGGAAGACCTTTAGTAAAAGTGATTATTATTATTCATCAACAACATTACAATTATTATTTTAATTCATTCTTTATATTCTTTTAATTTTATCTTTTTTTGTCTTTATTCTTAATTTTGATTTCGTAAGATTCATCCAAGTTTTTCAAAAGTATTCCCTTACAAGGAAATGTATTTATTGAGATCTCCTTAAAAAAAACTGATATTAATTAACTTTTATAGAGATTTAATGTTAAATGATACTACATTAAATTAATAATCCAAACAAAGAACAGTAAGCTAAATGAAGAGATTAAAATAAAGATTGATTGTAATTACTTAATTGAAAACTAACTTAACAAAAAACTGCATGATTATTTCATAAGATATTCTGATAATTTATATAATTTATTAATATTTATAAACATAAGTCTTAATAGATATAATTAATAATTTTGTAAAATTAATTTATAAATAGGAATAGATATATTTAATAACAAAGATAATAATAAAAAAGATATGACAAGGATTAAAAAAATAAAGTTAATCTTAGAATATAATCTAAACTAAATAACAAAGTTAAAACAATATGATATTGTTTAATTTTAACTTACTCTCAATTCAAGATAATGTATCAATCACCTGTTAATTGATAAGATATTAAAAAACTTTTAAAACAAATACTAATCATTAAAAAAGTAGTATATTTTGAAATTATTAAGATTTAAGGAGATAATTATATCTTCTCTAACCGTATTATATATGAATCTTAATTATTGATTAACTTAAGCACAACTTAAATTTTTACATACATCAAATAATAAACATTTATAAATCACTGAGATTATGTTTACAAGTTTTTTTAAGAGTTAGAACTATATAATAGGATTTTCGCGAAATTAATTAATATCTGGACAAAAATAATATTCCTCAACATTTTTTAGCCTATAAAACTGTATCTATTTTATGAACTCATCATCTAATTTAATTTCACTATTAATTTATTCATTATGAAATTAAGAAATTATAGTTATTCAAAATATGTAATCTTAAACAAAAATTTTCTTCTTTATTAAATGAGATAAACCCCCAAAAATGAATTGGATGATAAATTTTAGAACTAAACTTACAAAATTAATGATATGAAGCATTGGCCTAACGTAAATTTATGTGAATATATACTTATATTAAAAAATAATTATTCACTAATATAAAATTTGAATCATAAATTTAAGAATTAAGGTTTATTAAAATATTTAAAAATAAAAGATTTAATGTTATTAAACTAAAGAATCGATTAAGCCAGTGATCCAATTCTTCGAAAGCCAAATGAATCGATTTTGTTTTTAGAACATCTATAATTTTCTAAAAGCTTTCAACATTTTCAATGTGAGGCTTTACTATTGGTTAGTATTGTTAAACCCTTTCCTTTTATTAGTTATCAAAGTTTTATTTAAGATATTGATAATCCACCATCTAAGCATTGGATGGATTCTATTGGCCACATGACTTGCATAAGAGCCTTTGTTTTGAAAATAATTAAGGATCCAGATTCACATATGCAATTTTTTATTAGTGTAATTTGCATAACAAATCTGTTTTTTTTCTATTACTTTTGGATCTTCCCTACTAAGGAATGGTTTAATAAAAAGATAATTATGAAATATTATCTTTTTAAACATAAATAATACAAAAATTGTTAAATAATTCTCTTCATGTCTTCATGATAATTGATCATCATCTTGGTGAACCTAGGCTATTGTGTTTAAATCTATTTATGTGACATGATCAACTAAACTAGTAATTCCTAATCAAAATTCTTCTAATTACATACTTACAGATATCTTGCTCAAATGATGAGTTCAAGAGATCTTTTCCATTAAATTTTGATATTATTATT